CGGAGAAACCCGAAGTTATTGAGCGTGCATTTTCTGGCGGATTTCTCGTCGCATGCTAGACACCACAGCTGTCAGATAGCTCGTGCTCATCCCACGTGCTGTATTCTATGGCGGACTGGGATGGTATGTGGCAGTATCAGCAGGGTCACTATACTGGCCCTGCCCTAGCTCAGTAGTTGCAAGGGTGCCAGAACACAACTTGGTGCGCGTCCAACAGCGCGTCACAACAAGCCAAAACATATCGTATTAGGCAAGACATAAGCAACCGAGAGCCTGGTACATCAGTACAGCGCATGGCAATTGAAAGTCCGCCCCAGAGAAACGAGAGAAACAGCTCGAGGAGCTGTTTCTCGTTTTCTCGTTCGCGCTGAGATCCCAAGTCCGATCGCCGTTCGGCAGGGACCCCGAAAGGCTTCAGCGCACTGAGAAAATGAGCGAGAAACGCTTATTGAGTTCGACTACTCTGAGCACAAGTCCAAGCCCCTGCTCGCACTCATCGCACGGCTGCTGGTCCCCCTCCCCCCCTCTCTCTTTACCTCCTGCAGAGACTAACTCACGACACCACCGTCATTGCCCGTCATGAGGGCCTCAGTTCGGGTGCCTGCGCTGACGACCAGCATGCTCACAGCTGTCAGTTATACCTGCGCTTTAGCACCAATGTCTCCTACTCATACTCGCTTGCTTCTAGGGTGTCGCAATGTCACTGTGGAACAAGTACCAAGTACGAATGACTGACTGACATAGACCACCATCTGAACGCTATCTCACGTCATACGTCGTTGTCATTTAGGACATGATTTGCGTGGAGAATTGCGACAATCCCGACGTCAGCAAGCATATACATTACGAGCAGCCTGTTTGGCAGACGCTCACCATGTTTTGTCAGTCTATATTGAGCTTAGCCTCGTCCACTAAGTGTCTGATCATGTGCCTCGGACTTGATAAACGCGTCTAGGCGGACAGATGTTGTGTGAGTTCTCCGCCCTGCTCGCTTGCTATTCGGACGTGTGTGCTCATACTCATGTCGAACAAGGCTTTATCCCACTGGCGTACATGTCGTATAGGGCACGTTCGCATGCTTCAGCAGAAGAATCAGAAGGCACTCCACTGCTAGACCGGCCCCCAGCGAGGAAACAATCCAAATGGTCGCTTTTCCTGTGGTGGATTCCAGCTCTATGCGACGTGACAGGGAGCACAGTCTGTATCAGACTTCCATTAAACCCACTGGAGAGGCTCACGTACTCCCGCTCCTTCTAGCTGATTAACATTGGTCTATTAGCCACACCCGTCTCCATCTTCCAAATGACGCGCGGCGCGCTGCTCCTCTTCGTCGGTATCGGGAGCGTCCTCTTCCTCGGGCGCCGTTTTTGGCTGTACCAGTGCGCCTAGTCCCCTCACACGGCCCTCTGGTACTCCTGGCGCTGACATGTAACGCAGATGGATTTCGCTCATCAGCGTGACCTCGGGCATAGGCCTGGTAGGCTATGCCGGGTCGCTCATGTCCAAGGCGCACGGGCAGGCGAGCGAGGGGTCGTCGGTTACCTCGTATCTCTCGCAGGTCGTGCAATATCTGACAAGTGAAGACTCGCCCCTCTATGCTTCTGCGGAGGCACCCAGGGCGCCTTTGAGCGTCCCTGTGGGGATATTCTTCATCCTCCTCGCGCTGACCTTGTGAGTTCAAAATCCGTCGAAACGTATCAGCGTTCTTACCTTCTATCCAGCCACGCAACCCAGCTCGTCATCGAAGAAAAAGTGATGACTATGCACCCCATCTCGCCGCTCGCCGCGGTGGGGCTCGAGGGAGCCTTCGGCGCGTTCACCGTCCTCCTGCTCATGCCCGTCCTCTCGCTCCCGCGCATCCGCGCCTTGTCCCCGTACTTCGAGCTCTCGAAGGGCCTGCACCAGATCCTCAGCGTGCCCGCGGTCTTCTGGTCCGGCATTGGGTTCGCGGTGTGCGTCGCGTTCTTCGACAGCAGCGGGCTGAGCCTGACCAAGTACGCGAGCGCGACGATGCGGTGTCTGCTGGATGCGCTGCGGACGCTCGCGATTTGGTGCGTGAGCCTCGCGCTCGGGTGGGAGCGGCTCGCGTGGCCGGTGTCACTAGTGCAGATGCTGGGCTTTGCGCTGCTTGTGTGAGTATACGTACTTTGCGTTGGTTGTGTTTTGTCTGACTGGAGGAGAAACCATGTAGGTACGGCACGTTCCTCTTCAACGGCGTCTTCAAGCCGCCGCCATTCATCCCGCACCCGTCGCGTATGGTCAATATCCCTTCCGAGCTGTCTCACTCTGCGCGTGATGAGGAGGGATATTCGGACTCGTCCGTTGCTGGTGGGATTGATGCGGTAGTTCCGCCGGGTGGGACCACAAAGATCGGGTTCGTGGTGAAGAGCACTGCGGAGCAGAGCCACTAGCTATATAGATACGACGAACGACTCGGGATTCCTGCATAATGCTCTGTAGCAATAGGCTCTTGGAATTATGTATATACGAAGTGGTTCCTGTTCCATATATTGGAGTTTAAGCCACTCTGGCGATGAAGCGTTGAATCACAAGGATAGACTTTCGATCCACTCCAACAAGTCCTTGTTCACCTCCTTCGCGTGCGAGAAGATCACCCAGTGGTCCGCGTCGTACTCCTTTACCGTCTTCGGTCCAAGACAGGTTTGCTCGAGTGACGCCGCGCTCGGCCCGGCGAGACAGACGTAGTCCTTCGTCGCGGCGCCGTAGAACACGGGCTGCTTCACCTTGATGTTCTCCGGCGGGACAGCTGAATATCGAAATCATGAGTAACCTGAGGCTATCGTAACAGAGTAAAGACGTTGCCTTACTTTTGTCGTCTTCAGGCGTGATGCCTTCCACGAGCACGCGGTACCAGCACACGGGGCCCGCGAGCCCGCCTTTCAGGAGTATGTCCCGGTGGTGGTTGATTTCCTGCACGCGCACCCGGTCAACCAAGGGTATAATGTAGCTAGTTAACCTACTGACCTCCTCGGTGATGTACGAAGGGAGCGGCTCGATCCTGTTGGCGTCGAGCCATGCTTTCACGCCGCCGCTCGGGTTGAGGTACTCTTTCCACCAGATGGGGTTGACGGGGAGATACAGGCTGCGGAACGAGTCCCACTGTTCCACATACATTCCTCAGTAAGACAGAACAGGCACCACGCCTCGAATAATGACCGACCCACCTTCTCCTCTATAAGCTTGTCCGCGCCCGGGCTGGCCATGAAGAACCAGTACCCGAAGCGCTCGTACCCCGCGAGCTTGGAAAAGTGCTCGTTGCGCTGCTCGGCGGTCATCGGGTTGGGCGGCCCGTATGGGACGTTGAAGAATGCGAACGCGAGGACGCGCTCCGGGTAGAAGTTCGCGAGGCGCGAGGCGGCCATCGAGCCCCTTGAAGCCAACATTAAATATCGAGATAACTTGGGATATCGTGGCCTGACTCACCAGTCATGCGAGACAGAAATCACTTTCTCAACCTTCTCGGCGTCGAGGATGTCCACCAAATCCTTCGCGATCAGGCTGAGCTTGTACTGCTGCGGGTCGGTCGGCTTGTCAGTCCCGCCGTAGCCCAGCATGTCGGGTACGATCACTCCATAGCCGCGCTCCTTGAAGAACGGGACTATGTGCCGCCAGTCCCAGGACGTCGAGGGGAATCCGTGCAGGAAGAGGAGGATGGGCTTGGAGTCCTTGGGCGGGGAGAAGTAGTAGTGGTACTTGATGCCGCGGGTGGTTACTGCGTCCTTGTACGATGACTGGTCCATGGTTGGCGGTACTTGATCCTGGTGGCGAAGTGTGTTAGGGAATACACTGGCGAATGCACTTTATATGTACGGCGAGTCTCTAAGGGGAAATCCGACATGTGCTCGCGCATCCTTGAGGTCGAGGACGTACTGGACGAACATCACCGGCCAAGGGATAGCCGGAACGGCCGGAGCACCCGGACTGCAATCCAAAGGATATCCGATAATCTATTTGTTGACTCAAATATTACTGAACTAATCTAACTACGATATACCAAGGCCATAGCTCTCGCGGAGGAGCCACCCAACTACTCGTCGTCTTCTTCCTGGTCCTGAGCAGCGTCCCAAATCTTCTTGGGCAAATACGTCGTGGCGTACAGCGCGCCGACCGTGAGGATCACCATGACCACGTACACGAACGACCCGCCCAAGATATTCCGCTCAAGGGACAACGAGAATAGGGATGTCGAGAGCGCGGGTCCGATAGCACGGACGACCGAGATACTCGTCTGGGCGAGCCCGTTCGTCGCGCCCAAGACCCGCTTGTTCGGGGCTGCGGCACGGATATAGATGAACGCGCAGCCTGGGAAACAAGACTCAGCATCATCATATTTGGTACATGTTAGTGGCTTGGTACTCACTGAAACCCATGTCCATGAGGACGTAAAGGATCGCCTGGAACCCGAGCTCGACCCACGTCAGCGCATTGATTCCATGGTGCACCGCCGACAAATTCATGAGCGGGAACAGCGCAAACATGGGCACGAACGTCAGTATCGAGGTGACGAACACCTTCTTCGTCCCGAAGCGGTCGTACACGGGGGAGAACACGAAGGCCTGGTACAGCCCGCTGAGCAGCCCGAATGCGCCGAGGCACAGGCCGACGACCGGCGGCGAGAAGCCTAGCCCGCCGTACCGGATGGGCATGGTGTAGAAGAGCGGCTGCAGGGCGCGCAGCGCAATGTCGAGGAAGGCGAGCAGGGAGTAGTTGATGATCGCGGTAACGACGCGGCCCGTGAGCACTTCGCGGATGGGGAGGGGCCCGGAAGGTGTGGGCGTGGGCGCGGTGGTTTCGTCGTTGGTGGTCTCGACGTCGGACGAGGCGGAGGACTTGTTCTTGCGGACTTTGACGGTCTGAGGAGTAACATATTTTAGTGAGGTTGAAGGGAGAGTCGCGCGTTTCACTCACCTCCTCAAGGAACAGGAATGCCAGGAGCCATGAGAACGCGCAGTTTGCGGCTACCACAAAGCACGGGAGTGCGTAGGGGTACGTCTTCCAGAACTCGAAGCGCCCAAATGTACTAGGGAAGCGCTCGTAAGGGTTCGAGAGCCAACCGCCCAGAAGAGGGCTATCGACAGTTACATGAGCTCATGTTCGTCCTTAAGAACTGCGGATCTTACCCAACTACTGCTCCGGTGGACCACACGACGGGCATGAGGGCCATGCCCTGAGCGACGTTCGTCGAGTCCGTCAGCTCGCCCATCATGCTCTTGATGACGCCGACGTTGCCGTTCAAGAGGCCCGCGAGGCAGCGACTGGCCACGAGGCCCCAGAACGTCGTGGACATTCCGAAGGCGACCATGGACAGCGAGAGGCCGAACAGGCCAGTGAGGAGGACTGGTTTGCGACCGACGTGGTCGGACCACCGACTCCATTGCAGGACGGTGAACGCCTCCGTGACAAAGAAGAGCGATTCCTGGCATGCGTGCATCAGCATTCTTCGCTCGTTGGCGTGTCTGACAGTTCAACTCACTATTAATCCGGCGTAGTAGCCTACTTTTTCGGGGTCACCGCCAGTGATAGGCAGTTCACTCACTTGCTACATACGAATACTTCAGAAAAGACACGACGAAGGAAGTGAACATCAACCAACCTTGTTAACGAACGGATAGATGACCTGGGAGGCCATCGGCTCTGCCAGCTGCACCCATAGCAGGATGGAGAGCTGGAACCAGGGCAAAGGAGTGGGCTGAGTCTTTGCGAGGAGGGGCGTGCCCTCCGAGGCGGTCATGGCTGGGGGAGAATGAGGAGTGGTCGAGCTACTGGGTGCAGACTCTGGCTCTGCACTTCTACACGCCCAGTCTAAAAAAGGGTTTCGGCAAGGTCAGACGCCAGACCCCACCAGGCCCTACGCGTGACATCGACTCGATATAAAAACCGAGGATCAACTTGGCCTCTACTTGACTCGTATATCGAGTCAAGGTCGGAGTCGGTTATCAAGCTGACATCCGGGCTGGACAACGAGAAAGCGGGTTTTCTGGCCAGCGGGCTTTCACATTTCATACAGCTGCTTGATTTTATTGCTCCTTGCATATGAATAAGAAAATGAAGCATATATTGCAATGCTATCTACAGACACTGTGTATATACAGTACATATAATCTTGTAAATACCAGACTGCCTGTCGCAGTCACACCTATTAGAGCCCGCCTGCCACAATGAAACAGCACATTCTGGACGTGATCATGAGCATAGACCATAATGATATTACAATACACATACCCAATTCACCCTGACCCCAGATGCACCCCACCGACCAAAGCTCAATGTTTGAGTGAATAAAATATCCTTCTGAGTGTTCCTGTATGAATGTGAGTGACATGTCGGGGAAAGTTCCTCATCACTTACCAGTTAGCAATGAGTGTTGGACGTCGCAGCCAGAGCTCTGTCACGCAGGCAGTC